TAGGTAGGTAGATAAAGGGATAGAGAGAGAAATAGAGAGAGAGTAGTTACGTAGGTAGGTAGATAAAGGGATAGAGAGAGAGAGAGAAATACAGTAGATAGGTAGGGGTTTCTGCTGGCAGAGCACTTGATCAATCTAATTCTCATCAATCAGTTAAAGAGTTTTCCAAAAGGGAAAAAAAAAGTTTTTCCACTCTGCAAAGCTCCCAAAACCGGCCCATTTTTCACGAAAACGGGCACATTTTTGTTCCAAAAATAGGCATGAATAGCCTTGGAGGGGGATTGCAGAATGCTCCCGGGGGATGTGGCGGGCAAAAACAAGCAAAAAACAGCCCGTTTTTTATGAAAACGGGCCCTTTTTTTGTTAAGAAAATTGCATGCATAGCCTTATGGAGGCTTATAGAGTGCTGCTGGGGGCTGGGGGGGGGACTAAAAACACCCGTTTTTCACTCATTTCTGCCCTCCCCAGCCCCCAGGAGCTCTCTGAAAGCCTCCATGAGGCTATGCACAGCCATTTTGGTGAAGGGGGCGGGGCTTCGGGAGGCAAAATGTTGTATTCGGTGTATAAGACGCACCCAGATTTTCAGCCTCTTTTTTTGAGGAAAAAAAGGTGCGTCTTATACACCGAAAAATACAGTATGAGTCGGTTGTCACGCATCTGAATTTTGATCACATGACCATGTTTATAAGTGTGGGAAAACGATCCTAAGTCCCCCCCCCTTACTTTTTCCAGGGCCGTTGTAACTTCGAAAAAGTGACCTGTTGTAAATTGAGGACTACCATTCAAAGTTACCACGGCCCTTAAAAAAAAGTGACCTAGGGCCGTTTTTCACACTTACGACCATGGTCAGGTGATCAAAAATTCTGACGCTTGGCAACTGACTCACATTTATGACGGTCGCAGTGTCCCGGGGGGGTCACACGACCCACTTTTGCAACCTTCTTGACAATGGAAAAACCAGATTTAACTTAACAACCATGTTTCTTTTCTTTTTTTTAACAACGGCAGCGATTCACTTAACGACGGCGGCAAGAAAAGTTGTAAAATGGGACAAAATCCACTTTTCGCTTAGCGACAAAAGTGTTGGGGCTCAATTGTGGCCGTAGGCCTAGTGTTAAAAAGTGTGAATAAGTGGAGAGAATCGTTTTGGGAATACCTGCACAAACTTGGTTAATCGCGAATCCATCTGCAACAATATTTCTTCCCAAGCTTCACACATGCAGGTCAGCGAAAGCTTTATGTACTGTTTGCAAACAGAGGGGGAAAAAATCATCAAATATTAAGGGGAAAAGCATAAATTGTACATTTCCTTATAAATCACATTCTGTTTTAGCCTGATGTTCAGTTTTCAAGCAAGAAACAAAACAGCAATTGCTTTAACAGGGTAAAAGAATTACCAATTACATTTAACTCCCCTGTTAGGATCGGCTTTATCATATCAAAATAATCATAAGGTAAAGTTTTCCCTCACGCATGTGCGCTAGTCGTTCCCGACTCTAGCGGGCGGTGCTCATCTCTGTTTCAAAGCCGATGAGCCAGCACTGTCCAAAAACGTCTCCATGGTCATGTGGCCAGCATGACTCAACGCTGAAGGAGCATGGAACGCTGTTCCCTTCCCACCAAAGGTGCTTCCTATTTTTCTACTTGCATTGTTTTATGTGCTTTCGAACTGCTAGGTGGGCAGAAGCTGGGACAAGTAACGGGAGCTCACTCCATTACGCGGCGCCAGGGATTCGAACCGCCAAACTGCTGACCTTTCTGATCAACAAGCTCAGCGTCTTAGCCAATGGGCCATCGTGTCCCTTAAAATAATTATAATATAGTGGCTAAGACGCTGAGCTTGTTGATCAGAAAGGTCGGCAGTTTGGCGGTTCGAATCCCTAGCGCCGCGTAATGGAGTGAGCTCCCGTTACTTGTCCCAGCTTCTGCCAACCTAGCAGTTCGAAAGCATGTAAAATATAAGTAGAAAAATAGGAACCACCTTTGGTGGGAAGGGAACAGCGTTCTGTGCACCTTCAGCGTTGAATCATATATATATATG